GCGGGGCTGACGTGTGGGGGCGGGGCTATGCGGGCCGGGACGCTGCGCACGAGTGACCCCGCGCCCGGGGGGCGTGGCTAAGCGGGCCAGGACGCTGCGCGCGAGTGACCCCGCGCCGGGGGGCGGGGCTGACGTGTGGGGGCGGAGCTATGCGGGCCGGGACGCTGCGCGCAGGAGTGACCCCGCGCCGGGGGCGGGGCTGACGTGTGGGGGCGTGGCTAAGCGGGCCGGGACGCTGCGCGCGAGTGACCCCGCGCCGGGGGCGGGGCTGAAGTTAGGGGGCGGAGCTATGTGGGCCGTGACGCTGCGCACAAGTGACTCCGCGCTGGGGGCGGGGCTGACGTATGGGGGCGTGGCTCAGTGGGCCAGGACGCTAGGCACGAGTGAGTCCGCGCCGGGGGCGGGGCTGACGTGTGGGGGCGGGGCTAAGTGGGCCCTGACGCTGCGCACGAGTGACCCCGCGCGGGGCTGTACAAGACTTCCGGGGGCGGGGCTGGCGTGTGGGGGCGGGGCTGATCTCTGCGGTCCGGCCGGCTGCGCACGAGTGACCCCGCACGGGGCCGGGGCCGAAGTCCACGACGGGGTTGACGTCCGGGGGCGGGGCTCCCTTTCGGGGGCGGGGCTCCCTTCTGGGGGCGGGGCTGAGCTCTGCTGGCCGCGTCCCCTGTGCGCCACTGATTCCTGCTCGGGGGCGGGGCTGCGCCGCGTGGGCGGGGCTTCCCTGTATGGGCGTGGCCGGCGTGCGGGGGCGTGGCCGGCGCGGAGCCGCGGCGTGGAGGGGCGGGAGCGGCTGCAGCGCTGCGTCCGCTGTGAGGGCGGGAGTCGCGGGACGGCGGCCGAGCCTGTGGACGGCGCGGACGGTAGGCGACGAGGCGTGGCGGAGCTGGGGACCGGGCGCGGGAGAGGGGAGACGAGGCGGTGCTGCGGGGCTGAGGACTGGAACTGAGGGAACGTGAGGGGACGCGGGCCGGCGGGGCGGACGTGAGGGGACGCGGGCCGGCGGGGCGGACGTGAGGGGACGCGGGCCGGCGGGGTTGACGTGAGGGGACGCGGGGCGGACGTGAGGGGACGCGGGCCGGCGGGGC